CAGCCTCATGGACTTGCTGGAGCTGCTCTGCCGAGGCTTCCTCTGCCCTGCTCCTGCTGCCAGTGCAAGCAGTGAAACGTGGCCTCGTGGCCGTGCGGACCTTGCCGGAGCACCTGTGAGCACAATGGGGCGTGCAAATCCATCTTTGCTTGCTGGCCCTGGTGCAGGTGCCCGGGCCCCCAGTGCTGTCCTGCCCCAGCCCACCCCAGATCCGTTTGGGTGTTCGGCACTGGTGTGCCCAGGGCACCCCTGTGACAGTGTTTGGTCTGCCGCTGGCTCCGGGTAACCAGATTACTTAAAAGTGGAATTGTTTTTCTGGACAGGAAGGCTGTTAGTAGAATCTGGCTATAGATCTTTATTTTTTTTCTTTCCTTGGACACATAATTGGATCTTCCAGAAACATCCTGGTTGCATGATTAGTGTTGTTTTTAAGCGGTATGAGCCATTCGTGTCTCTAAATCTCATAACGACTCCAGTCAGCTCGCCGCTGCGCCCACAATGGCACTGTGGCCACCGAGACCGTCTGCCGGCTGGTTGGGGGGCCCCTGGCGCCCCCGTGGGGGGGCTGGATGGAGCAAGCTGGGGGGCTGAGCGATCCCGTGGCTGTCCTGGCATGGACGGGGCACTGGGGAGGCTGCCGCTGCGTGGTGCGAGTGCTAAGATTGTTGTGCAAAGTTGGCTTTGCTCTTTTCTTAAGAAGAGTTTAAAACCAAATGCCAAGGGGACTGTCTGGGCTGGGTCGGCTCCTTCCTGCGGTTGTGAGGAGCAGCGGTGTCTGCGGGCACGGTGCTGTTTTAGAGCAGGACCCCTTACAAGTGCCTGTCTGCTTTGAGAAGGAGGCTCTGGGGCATAGGAGATCCTTCCGTGCGCTCGCACTTTTCCTTTGGCCTTCTCTCCCTGAAAATGAGGGAGAATCAGAGTCCTGGCCGGTGGTAGTCATTGGTCACAACAGAAAAATGACTTGGAGAAGGATAGTAGTCACATGCGTGAGTCACTAGACCAATGCGTGGGGATCCCAAATGGAAAAGGTGATGCTAATTTGCAGTGAGGATGAGGTGGGTGAATGACAGAGCCGGTGCCGTGTGTGGTGAGCTAAAACACCGCTGTATTTGTAGCCTGGCGAGTGTTTCATCGGAGCAACTGTGGCAGCTGAGTAGGGGTACGAGCCCCATGCCGCAGCCGGGGGCTGTCAGGCCCCTTCCTCCGCTTCGCTCCAAGGCACGAGCATGTACGAACAGGCAGACTGAGACAGATCCTGAGCTTGTATGTCTCTGGGAACGTCAGTCTCCAAAAGCGTTGGCCCTGGAGGGACGAGGAGCCTGGCTGAGGGGTTCCTT